GGCGGTAAAACGAGTTGGACTACTCAAACGTGTCTTTGGATCGTTTGAGCCGGCTTTGTCTCCACGTCTGTTAACCACATATATCTGTCCATACACCGAGTACTCCATTAAGGCCTGGAACCCATGGTTGCAGCGAGATCTGAAGGCACTTGAGCATCCACAGAGAATGGCTACCAAAATGGTCAAAGGTTTGCATTCCAAGACCTACGGAGAAAGATTACAGCTGCTGGGGCTATACTCATCTCCATATCGTCGAATCAGAAGCGATATGATTTTACTCTATCGGATCTTCCAATAGCTCAACCACCCAAGTGGATCTNGTTCATCTCAGAGGGCATCCGCTGAAGTTGGCACACCAAAAGAGCCGTCTCGACTGCAGACGTCACTCGTTTGCAGCCAGAGTGTGTAGCAAATGGAACTCTCTACCAGCTCACTTGGTCTGTACCCCAACATTAGTATCTTTCAAGCGTCAGCTTGATGATGCTCTGGCAAACGTTACGTTTCAACACCCAACTACATAACATATTTTCCTGTGCTCGTCAAAACATTACTACTTTACTTTCATGGACTAACTGTGATATTGTGAATCGTCATCAGAACCAATGTGTGAATACCCTATGGGATTTGTAAAAGGGAAGTCTTTGTAAGTTATATCCCATAATAAAAATTTGATTTTGAATTTGAGGATAGTTGTTTATTGAAGATTACAGTTGAGACATCCATAATTTGGTGTACATATCGCAGTTGAAACATGTCGTCGCAAGTCCCGACAGCAACGCGGGTACCGTGTGGAGAAGTCCTGAAGCACAGTAATTCACCCACGCTCCTTGAACAGTTGCGTTAAAATTTCTCGCCACCGTTGCGTTCTGAATTTTATCTACCCAAATTGCTAAATATACCTGCTTTAACTGTATCCACAAAGGAATTCATGTTAAAAATGAAGGATATTATTGTAAAAAACCATATTGCCAGGTTCGGAGTACCAGTTGCTAGTCAAGCGCTCAAATACTGCAAACGCGGAAAACGCATTCGTGCCGGTTGGCAAAATGCTGTCGGTCGTACTACTCCCAGCAAGATGACTGTATCTACCTTTGTGAGTAACGGTGTCCGTTCTGTGTTTGGGAAGCTTCTGGATTTATCCTACCTGCTCTAGCGAAAGGAATTTCGTACCTCATGTGTCTTGTGTCTTCAAGAGTCCTGGCTCAATGATGATGTGGACGATTCCGAGATCCAATTGGATAATTCCGTCTCCTAATGACAGGAACGACAACGCTGTAGGAAGAAATTGGGAGGCGGTGTGATCACTTACATCAATTCCAATTGGTGCGGCAAGTCCGAAATACTTTTTAAGTATTCCCAGAATGGCGTTGATTGTTTGACTGTCATCTGTTACCCCAAATGCTCCCGCTTTCCTTTTATTGCCATCACTAAC